CTGTGGTGACAATCACTTGCATCACTTCTTTGGAGAAAACGTTGAGAGCTGCGGCTGACCAGGCTTTGAAGCTGCATCCGGACCGGGTTGGCCGCAAGCTGTTTGGAATGGTGGCGGGTCTTCGTTGCCAGAAATGGGTTCACCTTAAAAATGCACCCTTTTGAAGCCGATTCTTTCTGATCACCATAGTATGTGGATGGGAGGCCAGTCGTTGAAACAGTTTGAGTGCTCCAAGGGTTTCTGGGCAGGTGGTGATTGCATGGGGTGCAGTGTGAGTCAGAAAGAAAACATCTAAAGGAAGGCCATCAGCTAGAAACGACATGATGACCTGGCAATGCTCTCAAAGGTACGACTACGAACCCATGGTAGTTGGTGTGCTTAGTTTGGTAGTAGATGTGACTCTCTACACAATCAGGAAGGATACATGTGTTTACAGGTGAATAGCACGAACAGGCCTGTGCATGTGCCAAGTAGGTCAGCGGTCAGCAGGCTTCATACTAGAAGCCGACCGCAAAGGAGCAATTGGGGGGAGTTCAACTTGGGCGCTATGTTTATCCTCATCGTTTCTTCTCCATTGTGGTGAAGGCTCCAGCAACCATCGTCACCCAGCTCACCGCAATGAGAAGGGCAAAATCCGTGCCCACTGCCCATGCGCAACAAAAACACACATGGAAGCACGCGTGTCCATGCGTTCGCACACGAGGACAAGAATCAGCAGGACCCGAATGCCAAAGAGAAGTTCCAAAGCCTTCAGGAAGCTTATGAGGCGATCGGTTTTGATTTTGTCCGCTCGATTTTCTGCTTGATGATTCACCAGGACCATGCGATCCCCTGCCTTGTTCCAACACGGATTGCCTGCCTTGTCAGCCAAAGGGCCTGAGGGGTGGTATGGGGATAACAGCGTGTTGTACTATGTTCCAATATGGTCTTATTTTGTCAGGGAATTGAGAATCACCCACTTGACAGGCATTCCGTTGAACAAACTCGCAGAACTGCAGAAGCCGAGCAAGGCTCTCGGCTCTCGATAAGACTTTGTTGCTTTTTTGGGGGGGGCAGTCGATAAGCGGGAAGATGGAAGTGAAGATGGAAGAGCTGTTCCAAAGCGTTCCAAATTGGTCCCTGAATGTTCCCCGTTTGTTCCGTCAATTTGGGGGATTGAATGAAAGAAGACAACAACTCCATTGTATTCCATTGTGCTCAGTCCTGTCCTTCACCGTCACCATCGAAGGTCGACGGTCAAGCATTTTAGGGAGCTACATGGCTAGAGGACACTCCAAATAGGAGCAACTTTGACAGTCGTCCCAGCAAATCAGAAAAACATACATAAACTAGCTAAAGTGTGTTGAGTTGTGTGTTTTAATTGCAATGTTTGCTCACCTCAATTGTAATGTTTGCTCACCTCCTTGCAGATCACAGCCGTGCTCCAGCGCGAACCCGAACCGTTTTTTTGACGTCTCCGTCTCTGCCGAGACGTCGATGAACGTCGCAGGTCCTCTCGGATCCTGATCGGCGGAGTGCGTATGACCAGAACAGCGACTTCATCATGTGCCGTGCCTGCGGGATGCGTCGGTGTTGCGGGATGCGTAGGTCACAGATGCCTTGTGCGTGTTCCGCATGACCCGTAACAGTCAATATATTATATAAGATATTATCGCTATTTTTGAGACATGCCTTTACTAACCATCATTAATTATCCACTGTTACATGGAATGGGATAGACAGGTGCCACAAGATATCACAAGTTCCGATGCGTGTTTCTTTCCCAAGGCTCATTGAAGACTCTCAAACGACCAGTAGAGACCCATAATGCCGTAGAGTTTGTGTAGTAACATGCACCTGGAAGGAAAACCACAAACAAATCATGGTGCTTTTCTGTCGGAGTCCCGTCGGCCTTTTGTTGGTGGACTCCGTCACATAGAGCCGTCGGTCTCCGAGGAAAGCCTTTGCAGAGTCCGCTGGTGGGGAGGAGCAGGAGCAGCGGTCGGAGCATGCCTCGAAAATTGGAATGTGCAACACTTATGGGACGAAGTGTTCTGTTTGTCTATAGGCCGGAATTCACGGCGCAGTGCTCCCAAGATGAACGTAATCGGATCATTTACCTCCAACTCTGTAAACTTGCGTAGCTTTTGCTTCTGGCAGCCCTGGACACATCATAGTGCGTGAAGGGCTTGGAAAGGATCAATTATATAATTCCGGCAGAGGATGTCTATCTAGTGCCTGCTACCGTGGTGAGTGTTGTCTTATTGCAAAGGGAGTGAGCGAAGGGAGTGAAGCACAGTTGAAAGAACAATATCACGTCCCAATGGGCAAGCTACCATGTGGGGATGGGTAGGCTAGACCTTGGCGAGCATATCAGCCTCTACAAGCTGGTGTGGGTGGCTTGAGGCAAAGCTATACTTAATCATATAGGATGTTCCGGGAAGGGCTGGATTTTCTTGCACTAGCTTGGGAGTTTAATGAGCATGCTTTTGGTGGAAGAAATCCCGTAAAACGAGGTGCTGGATCACTGCGGCACTTATTATAGTGGGGGCCTTTTAATTCGGGATGTTGTTCATTTCTTGTTGGGAATATTTTTCAATATTATGCGGGCTCACAGTTTGCCGCGGAGTCCTGTTCACAGCCTTTTGGCCATACATCATCATACACCCTCCACATCCGCAGCCAATTTCAGCAGTTGGGGTGTCTTGACTTCCTGTGGGTATTAAAAAGATATCGGGCATCACACCCTCTAATTACATCCAGAGCGGTAGACTTTTGAACAGGCGGCAGGCGCAGCATAGTGGAAGATTTCGTGGCTCTTGAGCGGGGTCTTGGCGGGGGAGGGCACAGCGAGTCCCCTTCAGAGCAAACAAAAAAGTGACATAAAGGCGACCAGAAAGTTGCCCCAAGAAATTCCAAGGGACAGGCTTGCTGTTTTGGATGCCAGCCTAGCCCCAGCAAAGGAATGCAAAGGAACCGATAAGGAGCAATGATGAAGTCACCTTGAGAATGTTGCTGGTGCGGTGCAGCGTGGTTGACATTTAAACAACGGTTTTCATGACGGTGCAGCCAACATGCACCGCACCCGTTCGCCCATTCGCCAGCTTGCTCCAGGAATCCTTCCTGGCGGACACTTGGTGGCAGCGGGAGGGTCCTGGTCTTTGGAACTGACAAGCAGGCCCTCAGCATGAGTTTTGGCCTCATTTGAGCTATATAAGTATAATTTTCCTGTCCCTGCTCTCCGGATCCTGTACGTTGTCGTCGTCGTCGTCCTCGTCCTCGTCCTCGTCGTCGTCGTGGTTGTTGTTTGCAATTGCGTCGTCAACACATCAGCGAACTTGGGGTCCAGTTCTTTGTGCCCAAGGTTTTTGGTCAAACCTCACGGAATTTGGGAATCAATTTGGTCAAAGAGAGGTGTGTGGTGGTGCGCGTGTTGAATTCCATGCTTGTTGCGTATATAGGTGAGGTGACACACATACACATATATATATATATATGTCGATTACACATATATAGATATATGTGTGTTTATTTGTGTGCGTCATAATACGTAACATCGGACCATGTTGAGAGCTGTATTATGACACAACCGCCCCAGGTGCCGTCCTCCAGGACTTTCTGGTGTCTTTTGGTCGAAGCGTGTATCAGCCACTTGGCAGGAACCCCTCTGTTCAGGGAAAGCAGCCAACTGCCGCACACTTGAGAGCTTGGATGTGCCCCTTTTACTAGGATCCGAACAAGACACTCCGTATATTTGCCACATGTGCAGAATTCTTGTTTCAAAGGCCCTATGTGGTGCATCTTAGCATGTTGGCCGTGAATTGGCCAAACATTTGATCTTCACAACTGACTATGGACGTGCTATCTAACTCACTTGCTCCTGTCTTTGCGCCCGAAAACGCTGGGCTGAAGGTGACGATGCAAAATCCTTATCACAGTTGGCATCGCAGCTGGAGGATGAGAGCCTTGGATGTGATGTATGGAGCTGCTCATCGAAGTTGGATGATGGATGTGACGGGTGGATGTGACGGTTGGTAGAGAGCTGGAGTTACCTTTGGTTGTGAAGGAAAAGGGTTCCTCTCCAGAAATCGTGACATTGCACTTGGTATTGCTGGACAAGAAACTAATTGGCCAAAAGAATAGGGACATGGGGCAGGGGGCTGAGGTAAGTATCCTTCCTCAAGCAGGTTGTGCCATGAAGATGTTTGACTTTACCCAGCAGGTGGAGACAATGTTTTCTTAGGGTGTGCGTTCGATGTCTCCCAGCGGTAAATACATTGCATTTATATAGATGCATAAGTCAGACGTGTTGCTTTAAACATTTAAATGCTTTCAGGGTAATTATGTGCCATGTGCCACCTTTCTGGCTTTGTGGTGATTCTGTACTTTCTAGATGATCGAGCGGTACTCCTTATTATGGCACAACAAAAAAGACCTTGGGACTGATGAATCACTACAATCACTTGCTTGTGAAACCGCTTGGTACCATTACGAACCCGTGATGTTGTTCCACAAGAACTCCCGACGCCACAAAAGCAGCGGCCGGTGGCGACCAAGCAACCTGTGACCAGCGGGGCTCCACAGATGATGCGGGCATTAACAAAGATGTTGGGATTTGTCATTCACAGGCCATGTAAAGGCTATGCGCAATGCTATGCTATGAGCTAGTAATCCGAAAGTAGATATGGAAAAGAAGCCAAGCAGCCAAGCATAGCCAACCAACCCCTCCAAAAATCATCTTGCACCCCGTGCCTCTTCTGTTCCACCTCTTGTGGTTCCACTATGACTATATATAGCTATAATGGTTGTGGGTTGTGATTGGTACACAACGATGTATGTGAGACCAAGTGCAGTATTCAGAAAGTCTCATTTGCTTACCAGTAGGTCCGGAACCTATAGAGAGTCAGAGGTTCAAAACAGGGAGTTTGCTTTGATTCACTTTTGGAATGATTCAACCACAGCACGAATCATTCAAGCACGACTTGGTTGTCAATTCCCAGTGTCCACCCAACTACAGCTACCCATTGGCTATATCTCGCCATAGACTGGAAAATGCTTAGATGCCCAGAAGCCATGTCGGAAAGCGCAGCATATCACTGAGCATGCGGCCAGATGAGTGCAGGCCCTTTTTTGCCGTCGCACGCAGGGCGAATGTCCAGAGTGGGTTCGGAGGAGGTGTCAGCTGGGATCGACCTAAACTTGTTTGTTTCGCGACGGGCTGGATCATATGACCCTGGGCCCTTGGTTTGAGAAGGGTTCAGGATGTCGCTGATCCTTGGCTGATTGACCAAAGCCAAGAAAAGCCCCCTGAGCCTCAACATATCGTGTTTGCGTGGTCTTTTGACCATCCTCGAGAAACGATCAGACATGATTCGTGCAGAAGACCGAAGAGTTCCACCACTGGAGGGAGAAAAAGGAACACTTGTCCAAACCGAAGCAGACAAACATCAACAGTAACATCACAAACATCAAATCCATCAGCTTGGACGAACATCCTCACACCAGTTGAATGGAACATAATGGAACATCATCCTTTGGAGGGCACGACTTCTCCAATTTCTGCGTGGTGCCTGGCTGCCCCGCTTTCAGAGGCGGTGCTGCCCTTCGTGGTCGAGTGGTGGAAGTGCTGCCCTGCGCTGTGCTGTTGGAGGAGCTCTCTGGGAGCTCTGCTCGGTACCTGGCGTTGCGGCAGGGTCTGGAAGAGCTCCGCGTAGGCACGTGGCGAGCGCGCGTGCTGTGGCGTTGGGGAGGCGATTGACTATTGTATATAATTTGTATGTATGATTATTGTCAGATCAAGTTGTCAAGTTTCCTTTGAGGTGTTGTGCTGGTGGAGAACTGGGGATCCGCTCAGCGGTTCATCAAGCCTTGTGATGTCAAAATTGATAGAAAAGCTGACATTACATCAACCTTAAAGTTTGTATTTCAATGCATGTGTTGGACACAGATCAAGGTGTATAAGTGCGTGTTTCTTTGGCAAACATATCTCCAACTTGAAATGAACCAACTAATTCACCATGCCGATGTACAGGTGGAATCCATCAATTTCAACTGGTGCGGAACTTCTATCAACATATTCTGAATGAGTCGAATGAGTGTATGATTGATTATGGAAACCGGAAACTATATAATTGGAAATAGTTGGAACGTATGCAGTCCAGAAACCATGTGGACTCGGCCGATTGGTGCGGAGGCATGCCGGTGAACTTCCAAGTGAGCTGGCAACCTGGGCTCAGCGAGGCAGCAGGACAGTCCGTTTTGCGGAGTCGACCTCGACCTGTGTCATGGGACCTCGCCCATTTCGCAGAGTATCTTCAACCCTGATAGGGCCATGTTGGTCAAAAATCCCAAAGGATCATCTATTGTTGTATGATTTTTTGGGGGATCACGTGCTCGGGTACCACGAGTCTACCCTCGCAACATGTACATGTACGACTATTTTAGGCCAGCTTTGTCCCATTCCCACGGTTTCAAAGACAGTTCCGAGCATCAAGACGGACAGTTGTGCTTTTGTCAGGCGTAACTATCCCTGCGCGTGCCACCACCATCCACTGAAATTCCGGCTGCTCCAGCCCAGCGACTGAGCCACAAATTTAACCGACCTGGGTGTAAATGACCTTCGAGAAGGTGACTTGGAGCCCCAGCCCTCAAAGGTTACTCAAATAACGCTCAAAAGTACGCTCACAGATGGCAGTTCGTGAGAGACGCTGCCTGCATAGTATCACACACACACTTATAGAAATGCGTACTGATTTGAAAGCGGTTGCCACACACCGGCCTAGGTAACCATTTCCTAAGAGTACAGGTAAAAAACCAACGGATGCTCGGGGTCTTCAAACGGAGGTGAGGCCCAAAGCGCAAGCACCAAATCGACGAGTTCGGATCGACAAGATGACGGCGTTCGTGCACATCTGCAGAACTCACTGGCACTGTACAGGAAGATTGGAGTAACAGCTTGGACACATCACACCAAAGATCACCAAAGCAGGTACACAGGGATGATCAGTCCCTGCATCCTGGTCATCTGCATAGAGCTTCGTTGGCGACAGCTATGCAGTGACCCTGTCGCCCCCTGCTTGAAAACCAAACAAACATTCCAAAAGGAACCTTGTGACTCCAAAGGTTACACACACACACACACACTTGCCGGCTTCAAGGATTCAAGGCATTTCGATCAGCCCCGATGTATTACTAGGAACAAGAAGCTACTAGTAACAAGGGCACGTCTACTAGTAGCAAGAAACGATTAGTAGCTCCTGGCATTACTACTAGGAACAAGGACGCTACTACATGCCCGTTGCTTGGCTTTCGATGTCCCAGACTTGCACCAACGGAATTGCTTGCGCACCTTGAAAGGATACCTACGAGCCTCGAGAGTCGCCCCAGCCACACCAGTACCGCGATCAGCTTCCAGTACCGCAAGGAGCTGAATGACACATCCGTTCGATTTGGACTTCGACTCCAGGTTCAGACCCTCATGGTTAGTTAATTTAAAGCGCCACACGGTCTTCCGGACAGATGAGAGCTTCGTTACGTCGTTTCTCACCTGGCATGCCTCATCTTGGTGATGGTTAAGTGTTGGCATTTGGTCCAATCAACTTGGGTGAGGAAAGCATAGCAGCATGGCCAAGGTCACACAAGAATAGAGATTTGGGTCCATGTTTGTGGAAGAATGTTTAGTCTTTGGATGGTTCTACACCACGGGGTGTGTTCCATGCATGTTGCGGGGACGGATGGGAATTAGCTATAGTTCCAGCTCTTGTTTGGGTCACAATGGCCAATCTTTCTCGAAGCAGACCACTGTGGAGGAAAACCAAAGTTAAAGCATGGCTAAGAGCATCCTTGGATTGCATTCAAAAATTTGTCGTAGTGGGTGCAGAGCCAAACAATGGACGACTCACTTATTATGCCCCGAGCCCCATGCAGGACGATAGAGGCAGCAGAGATAGCAGAAACTGTAGACGCTGTGCATTGCATAGACGGCTGCTTGGCCTTATTAGGTGACTTTGTTTTTCGCCACTTGGAATAACTCGAGAGGGGGGTCTAAAAACAAGAAGAATGAACACAAATCACGAAAGGTAGCCCTTTAGGGGATACCTTGAGTTTGTCTTGCGAAGCAAGTGTTGGGACGTCCGGGTCTAATAATTGATCGCTCAATTCAGACCCCCCCCCACACCCCCCCCC